GAGTCAACCCTGAGCCGGTGAGATTTGAACCGCTGACCTGCTGATCTAGCAGTAGCCTGCAGTGCTGCTTTTAACCACTGCGCCACCTTGGCTCTGATCACTATCCTGCCTTTTTTGACACTGTCCCTGTGATTACTTCTTCTTGTAATGTGGAAATATAACATTCCCTGTGTTTAATGGTCCTTGACTTACAACCATTCTGTTCAAAGTTATAGCGGCATTGAAAAAAAGACTTATAACCGGTCCTCGCACTTGCGACCATTGCAGCTTTCTCATGGTCACTGTGATGAAATTTGAGCTTGGCAACCTGCATATATTTATAATGGTTGCAGCATCCCACATGATCACCATTTGCGACCTTTCCAGACAGGTTCTGGCAAGCAAAGACAGTGGGGGAAGCTGGCTTTACTTAATGACTGCTGATTCACATAACAACTGCAGTGAATCACTTAACAACCATAAAATAGGTTGTTAAAATAGGTTCTAAAATGGGGCATCTCACTTTATACCTGCCTTTCTTAACAACAGAAATTTTGATTGCAATTGTGGTCATAAGTCAAGGACTACTTGTAGAATGAAATAATGGGGAAGGCAACATGAGATTCCCAATATGTCTTCTTGATTCCCAGAGGGAAACCCCAAAAACACATATTCCTGCTTGAACGTCTAGGGGAAACAATGGGAAATAAATAAAGACTTTCTCTAAAGAAAAGAAGAAGAAATTAGAAGTGGTGTTAAGGACATCTGTTTATTCAAAGTGGACAGCACAGAGACTTTCTGCCAGAGGAAGCGATAGTTATTGAGGCTGCATCAGATTTAATCTTTGCAACTAAGCTTCCTGTCAACGCTTGAAATCAAAGGCAGGCAGAGTCCAAGACATTTTCCTTCTTCAAACTAGGAAGCAATTCTTTGTTAATACAGTTCAATGGATTTTCTACTGTTGGCAAGTTTTAGAGAGAAAGGGTATAGATAAAGGAGAATGTTTGTAGCTAAGAGTTGAAATGAGGGGTCCTTGGTGCTCTCTGAGCTTGGTTGCTTTCTTGCAGGCATTTCATCATCCAAACAGGTAACATCATCAATGCTAGTAGGAAGTGGGGTTTGCTCTCTTTTATATTCCAGTGGCTTGCTCTGTTGGTGCAAGTGATCTTGGTGAGTTTTGGGTTGGGTTGTTCAACAGTTGGCTTGTTTGGCAGTTCTTTGATTGGGATATTGTGCACTTCTTGTTTGTTGTCTGATTATTATCTGCAAGAAAACAACCAATAGCAATAGTACTTAGACCAGGGGTGGGTTCCTGCCAGTTCTACAGTGCCGTTTAGAACCGGTTCCATCTCCCTCCCCCCGCCTGTCCGCACATCACAAGATGAAGAGTGAGAGGAGGAATTCTGGGAGTTGAAGTCCACAAGTCTTAAAGCTGTCAAGTTTGAACACCCCTGGGGTATTTTTTCTAAAGGGTTATGGGTGCAAGGGTCTTGTAACTTGGCAGCTTTAAGACTTGCACACTTCAATGCTAGAGTTCCTGAGCAAACATATTGGTTGCTAAGCAAGAGTGTTGTTAAGTGGGTTTCATCACGTTTTACAGGTTGGCCACACCCACCCATTCACATGGCTGGCAAGCCACTTCCACCTGGTCACATGGCCAGCAAGCCATTCCCACAAAGCAGGCCACACCTACAGAAGAGGTTCTAAAAGTTTTTGAAATCCACCGCTGACTTAGACCTATATACTGCTTCAACAATCTGGGTCTTCATTTTACCAACCTCAGAAGAATGGAAGGCTGAGTCAGCCTTGATTGAGCCTGATGAAATTCAAACTTTTAAACTGCTGGCAGCCAGCAATCAGCAGAAGCAGCCTGCAGTACTGCACTCTAACCACTGTGCCACCACGGCTGTAACCAAGCTTAGAGAGCATCAGAAACTCTTCAGAAAGGGTATATAACTTGGCTAGCTAAAAGGATTATCAAACCACCATAATCTCATTTGCAATAGGTGCGGGAGCTGTTGTCAGGCAGACTGCCCATTTGGCAAACATCGTGCACCCAACCTACTCGTTTACCTGAGCGGGCATTGGCTCTGGTCAAGCTCACCGCCAACAACACCACAGCTGGCATTTCTGCCCCAGGCGTGGATCCACTCCTTGTCTCTAAGACCCTGGAAGAGCCTTTAGAATTGGGACAAAGTCACGTGAGTGTTTGTGGGTCAGGGCCGATAAACAGGATGTTAGCTTTTCCCTTTGCCTTCACTGTTTTGGTTTGAATTTCCGAAAACCATGGAGGTCTCCAAATGGCAGCTTCCGATATGGCCTGGAGCAGGAATGGGGAGGGTTTTTCCTGGCCTTTAGATCATGGAAGAAGATGCATTTCTTCTATAGGGGGTGGTGGGAAGGATAAGGGGATGCTTCTTAAAACCTGTATGAGATCTCATCAGCGCTCTGCATTTATTCATTCCTAACTTATCTCCCACAGCGGACTTCAATCCAGGAAGGAACACTGCTGCTCAATGGGGATTTGCACCGTGGGCGGGGATCCCGTGACTCCAGTCGCCTGTCAATCAGCGCGCCTCTCACCAACACCACCCCAGGTCTGATCCCCACCAAGCCCACTCAGAGCTCTTCACAAATCAAGGTTGCTGACAGCTATTCTTGCACTCTGCCAATTCCACGCAAAATGTCCATGGAAACTCGCCTGGCAACTGTAGGTGAGTGTTATGCATTCATTCTATTCGTTCTATCGTTTTGCACCCCATTCTGAGTCCATCTTGTTTCAGCCAATATATCCTTCGGCAATATAGGTAGTCCTCGACTAACGACTACAAATGAGCCCCAAAATTATGTTGCTAAGTGAGACATTTGTTAAGTAAGTTTTGCCCCATTTTATGGCCTTTCTTGCCACGGTTGTTGAATTAGTAGCAAGGTTGTTATATAAATCTGGCTTCCCCATTGATTTTGCATGTCCAAAGTTTGAAAAGGGGGAATCACATGACCCCAGGACATGTATGTACTGTATTTTTTTTTATCAAGTGCTGTGCCAGCAGAAACAAAGTATTAGGTGCTGCAGATTGTCAGCAATTTCCTTTTCCAGCACATGGATAAATACACCAGGAAACATCGATCTACCGACCTACTCTCTCTCTCTCTTCCTACTTACCTACTGTATTTCTCTCTCTCCCGACCACTTTATCCACCTACATACCTACCTTCTCTCTCTCTCCCTACCTATCTACTGTATTTCTCTCCCTCTCTATTTCTCCCTCTCTAATCCTCTACCTACCAACCTACCTACTCTCTCTCTCCCTACCTATCTACTGTATCTCTCTCTCTCTCAACCTACCTACTCTCTCTCTCTACCTACCTACCTATCTACTGTATTTCTTTCCCTCTCTATTTCTCCCTCTCTAATCCTCTACCTACCAACCTACCTACACTCTCTCTACCTACCTATCTACCTCATTTCTCCCTCTTTCTAGTTCTTTCTCTCTCTACCCCTTTATCTACCTACCTACTTACCTAGCTACTCTCTCTCCTTACCTACCTACTGTATTTCTCTCTCTCTCTCCCAACCTCCCTACTCTCTCTCTTTCTCTCTACCTACCTCCCTACTCTCTCTCTTTCTCTCTACCTACCTACCTACCTATCTACTGTACTTCTGTCCCTCTCTATTTCTCTCTCTCTAATCCTCTTCCTACCAACCTACCTACTCTCTCTCTCCCTACTTATCTATTGTATTTGTCTGTCTGTCTGTCTGTCTGTCTCTCTCTCTCGCTCAACCTACCTACCTACCTATCTACTGTATTTCTCTCCTTCTCTATTTCTCTCTCTCTAATCCTCTACCTACCAACCTACCTACTCTCTCTCTCCCTACCTATCTACTGTATTTCTCCCTCTTTCTATTTCTTTCTCTCTCTCTACCCCTTTACCTACCTACCTATTTACCTAACTACTCTCTCTCCTTACCTACCTACGGTATTTCTCTCTTTCTCTCCCTCTACCTACCTACCTACTTTTTAAAAAATTTGCCTCTTCAAAACTTTGGTGTGTCTTATACTCCCCAAAATACAGTATGTATGTCAAATATAAATATGAACCAGTTGCCAAGCACCCAAACATTGATCTCATGACCATGCAACGTTGTGAAAAGTGTAAGAAATGGTCCCAAGTCTCTTTTTTACAGTGCCATTGTAACTTTGAACGGTCACTAAACGAACTGTTGTAAGCCGAGGACTATCTGTAGTTCCAAGATTTTGGCATTTGATCCTTCTCCCTAAATACTGATCTGGAGTGTTGGAAGAATGTAAATGCTAATCTTTGCAAGAAGATGAATAAAATCTGTTTTTCATTTTTTTGGAACTGAGGACACTGGTTGAAAGATGCAAAAATGTCAAGAGAAGTCCAGCATTTTCCATGAGGGGTTACTCTTACATGGAATTGCAACCTGGTGTCCCATCCCTAACATAGAGGCCTCCAAATGTGGCAACTTAAGACTTGTGGACTTCTAACTCCTAGAATTCCTACACCAGCCATGCTACTAATTAGGGAATTCTGAGAGTTGAAGTCCACCCATCTTCTAGTTGTGAGGGCTAACAAACATTGCTTGAGGGCTGCCTAAGGAGAAAAAAGGCAGGGGAGAAACATAACTTACCGCACAGGAATGCCATTAACTTCCACCCATCCTCCCCACCCTTTCTTGCAGTAGAGAACAAGACCCTGCCCCGCATTAATCTTCTTTCAATCCTGCCTCCACGTTCCGAGCGTCCAAGAGTCCAGGCAATCTTCTCCCACTCGGCAGGAGAGAACAGCACCCTTCTCAACTTCCAAGAGGGAGATATCATCCTGTTATTGGTGGCTGAGGCGAAGGATGGCTGGCATTATGGGGAAAACGAGACAACCAGAATGTAAGTGAAAACCCCTCTATTCCTTTTGCCCTAGAAAAACTAGATTACTGCAGGTAGTTCTCCATTTACGACTGGCCTCTTAGCAACCGACTGATTTTGTGACAGAAAAAAAAGCTGACAGCAAATTAACATTGCTCTAAGCCAGAATATGCTTTGGTTTTGCCTGAGCCATTTGTGGCTGAGCCACCCTGTTGTAGTTTCTAAATCGTGGTTTGTGACTTGACATTAACCTATCCATAAATCCAATCATCCCAAACCCATTTATTTTTGACAACCTCCTCTGAGATAGTTCAAGTTGAAAAACAGCAATTGGTCCCAAAGTGCTTTGTGAAGTTTGTGGTGGAGCAGGAATTTGAATCTAGCCCTCTTTGTTCCTAGTCTAAGATTCAAACCACTATAATATTTGATTTCTCCTCCATAATAATTCAGGCAGGGTGGGGGTAAGAGTTTACAAAGACCACCTGAATTCTAGCTTTCCTCTTTTCATTACTTTATTCCATCATTTTAAAAAAAACTATGTTTGTCACCTCCCCTCCTTCAGTTGGGGATAGAAAACAAAAAAGAGGTTTTGTGTTCTTCTTTCTGTCTTAAATATCTATGCCTCACACTTTCAGGAAAGGTTGGTTTCCGTTTTCCTACACACGACCCTTTCCTTCAGCTGAAGGAGCTAACAAAGGACTCAGCAGGTAAGTCCTGGCACCTCAGTCTTGCAATTTAGAAACAAAACTAATTGTTGTCCTTGACTTACTTAGCAACCTATCAAAGTTCCAACAGACATACCTGGGGTTATTTATCTTTTGACCACTCTGGGTGATCAGCAACTGGACCATGTTTGCTGCCTTTTGCAGATGTCCCACAGTCACATCCTGCTTTTTGCTTCCTGTTCTTAACAAAACCTCACCCACTGTGAACCATGGGCTTGCTTAATGACCACGGATTTGCAACCACGGTAATTTGCTTAGCAACTGCCACAGAAAAGGTCACAAAATCAGGTCAGTCACATGACCGACCTGTTTTATGACCATCGTGAGTTAACAACTGTGATGGCGAGGCTGCATAATGGTTTTAACTCCAAGACTTAACGTGTAGTTTCAGAGTCAATATATCACAAGGATACTGTCAACCCTGAAGCTATCTTGGAGCTTCAGTGTTGCCACACTGGAGCTGAGGGTAAGGAAGGGGGGATTAGAGATAGCTGGGGTTGTGTAGTCAAAACAAAATACTTTCTCTTGGGAACCAAGGACATTCTCACTCCTTGCCGGAGGAAAAAAGGAGTGATATCACCCAGCCACCAGATAGCACCTTGTGCTATAGGAACATGTGACTGATTGTTTGGGGTTGAGGGAAATACTTTTACTTTTGATTAGGTGAAAACCGTGGGAATCTTGAGAGTTGTTTTTCACCATTTGTGCCAATATGATATATTCAATAAAGCTATTCTCTGAGGAATTCATTTGCCTTGGAGTTTTGCTTGCTATGAATCTATTACTTGGAACCCTGACTGATACAGGATACTTCTATCCCATGGCTTCCGCAGTCCACATGGCTCTCCCATTAGCTATAGGATCAACCAGTACCTGCTGTATGGGTTGATCCAGAAGATGCAAAATCTCCTTTTCCTTTCCACATTACGAGAATAACAGAGTTGGAAGAGACCTTGGAGGTCTTCTCATCCAACTCCCTGCTCAGGCAGGAAACCCTATACCATTTGAGACAAATGGTTTTCCAATCTCTTGTTAAAAACTTCCAGTATTGAAACATTCATAACTTTTGGAAGCAAGTTATTCCACTGATTAATTGTTCAGCCAGGAAATTTCTCCTTATTTCTAGGTTGCTTCTCTCCTTCATTAGTTTCCATTCATTGCTTGTCCTGCCTTCAGATGATTTGAAGAATAGGTTGCCCCCCCATTCTTTGTGGCAGCCCCCTCCCCCTTAAGTTAAAAGTAGTACATGCCTTGTCATTCAGGTTTCCCTGACAAAAAGGGTTGGATTAATGGAATATATCTGGAAGGCTTGGGACTAGTCTTTAGACTCCTTCAGGAAGCAGTGTGTTGTCTCAAGCAGGCAGGCATTAGATAGAAATCCTCACCATAAAACTTCACCTGACCTTTTCACTAGTGGCTTCCCTCTTAGCAAGATGAACAGTAGCAGCGCAGGAAATTTGGATCGAGCTGCATCTCCTCCTGCTGGACCTGATGGGGAAGATGATTTAAAGTTTGGCCCTTCAGCCCGTATCTGTGCATCTCGACAACGACCTTTCAGCATGTTAAATCCTGACCGGTCACAGGTGAGTTTCATGGGGGCATGGTGGGAGGGAGGAAGGAAGGAGGGAAGGAAGGAAGGAAGTAGGGAGGGAGGGAGGGAGAGAGGGGGGAGGGAAGATGAGAATGGAAGGAAGGAAAGGGAAAATGGAAGGAAGGGAGAAATATGAGAAAAGGAAGAGAGGGAGGGAAGAAAGGAAGGACCTGTATTTGCCCATTGCCATCTGTAGGTGGTGTCCATTGTGCAAAGTCCTAGATTTGGGGCATGAACAGAGAGGATCCCTTAACTTCTGAATGCATTTTTCTTTTATTTTACTTTCCAGTTGACAAATGAGTTTGGAAGTCCATCTGCCTCTCCTTCAAGGTGAGACGCCTCCTGTCATCTCTTGTTTACATTCTGTGGAATCTCTTGTGTACCCTGTTCTGGCATTATCTTGTGGGCCTGTGCTTTAAAACACAGAATTCATCTTATATGGTTGGGTATTAGCTCTTAATTCTGTTTTTATTGGTTGAAATGTATTTCATAGACAAAAAAAAAAAAAGAATGTGAAACTTCTAAATAATAAACCAGCACTACAGCTCTAAGGCCAGTTTAAAATCTTTTGTTCCGAATATGCTGATTTTATATCGCAGCTGCAGATTGTTTTTTTAGCAGTTTTTATTATAATCGGTTAACTAATAAAGCATTGAGAGGTTTTATAGTGAGAGAAAATTATGCTAGAACACGTAATCCGTTTTTTGTAATATAGGCAGCCCTTGTCATACGATCACAAGTGGGAAATGAATTTCCTTTGTTAAGCAAGGCAGTTGTTAAGTGAGCCGCTCCCAGTTTTACAACCTTTTTTTGCCATGGTTGTTAAGCAGATTGTTACCCTGATTACATGAATCAGGTGTGTCATTCATGTCATTAAGCGAATTTGGCTTCTCCCACTGATTTTGCTTGTTGGAAGATGGCCAGGAAGGTCACAGATGGCAGTCACATCATTCTAGGAGGCTTCAACCATTGTAAATACATACTGGTTGCCCAGTATCAAAATTTAGATCATGTGATTGTAGAGATGCTGAAGTGTTCATATGTGCAAGTACTGGTGGTAAATCGCTTTTTAAAAATCCTGTTGTAACTTTGAACAGTTGTTAAACAAATGACTGTAAGTAAAGGACTTCCAGTATCAGCTCCACTTTAGTAGTCCCTTCAAAGTGTTCATTTTAGCCTATATAAAGCAGAGGTGGGGAACGATGGCCCTTTTATGACTTGTGAACTTCAACTCCCAGAATTCAACTTCAACTCCCAGAATTCATTCATTCATGGTATGGTTGTCATGTGTTTTTAAATTGTAGTATTGTTTTGTTCGTCTTTTTTATTCCTTATTTGTAAACCCCCCCCCCCTTGACTTGGGTTGTGAGCTGCCCTGAGTCCCCTTCGGGGAAAAGGGCGGCATAGAAATATAATCAATTCAATTCAATTCAATTCATAAAGGAGCCATCATAACCCCCACTGCTATAAAAGCAAAGGATTTTTCAGGAAAGAGAGCCCAGCCAGGGTAATGCTGATGGACAGAGGTTCTCCTGGCAATCATCAGACCAGCGATCCCCAATATTTCTGGCTTGTAGGCCTGGCCACGCTGGCAGGGGGAAGAGGGGATGGTTCTGTGTGAATGGTAGGCATGCGCATGTGAGTGTGCACAGCTACTTCTATGGAGTGGAGTTACACACGTATGCGTGCTTGCACAGCCCGGTTCCGAAAGGGACCACAGACTGGTGGTGGGCCACATCCCAGGTTTAGACATTAAACAGAGGCTTTATGATTCCTCTAAGCCAGTAGTTCTCATTTTTTTCCTCATTACGGAGCCCTTTAAATACCTTCTGTGGCCACGGACCCCCAAGGCTTAACTCAAAATTTAAATCATAAATGTTTCTTCAAGCCTTTGTGGACCCCCGGGGACAACGTCATGGCCCCTCCCTCAGGGGTCTGCAGACCACAGGTTGAGAACCCCGGCTGTAGGCCATTTTAAACCGGTTTTACTTGTCTTTTCACCACCAAACTGTGTAATGTTTTATATTTAAGGCACTCATTCTTTAAAGTCTATGCTATGCAACAGCTCTTCTGCTGGTGAATTGAAGAGAGACGATGTAAAGCCAAATAAATGAACAAATAAAATGTGCGAAGCTTTACAGAAATCCAGCGCATTGTCTGATAACGACACTGGCTATTCTGCCCCATCAGCTTTGTTGCTTTAATCTCCGTCTGCAGCAGCCTTTCCAAGATGCATTGTCAGTTCCCAACACCTGCTGGTTAGGAATAGTGTGTGTTTGTGTGTGTATGTACGTGTGTGTGTGTGTGTAGAATTTAATTAGTCTGGTAGTTTGGGGAAGGTTGACCTTAAGCATAACAGTTTTCTTTTTGCAGCTTCAAAAAACTGCCTGAAATCTGGGCCTACACTTCTCACACTGCCTCTCTCTTTTTCACCTTGCAGGATCAATCCCTTTGCTCATGTTAAGCTGAAACGTACGGTGACCAATGACCGCTCGGCCCCACTCATCCAGTGAAGTGTGCAATGTTAAGTGGAGATAGACCGCTGCCCTGCTTTCCCCTCTTTCCCTCACCACGTGGCCTTTCCCACCTAACATGCTACTTCTGGCTCATAGTAGGTTTCGCAGGCCAGGCTGGTCCAGGCGTTCCACCCTCCCATAATGGCACAGAAAAAGTCCACAAACTCGACACACAACAAAAAGGCTTTCATTGGTGGTAGCAATTCCAGGATGCTGAGAAGGCAAGCTAACGGCAGGAGGACAGTAACAGCCGGAGAGGAGCTAGAGTTTGGGTGCAAGTAATGGAGGCAGAGGTGTAACAGTTGGATAAACAGGCAGGAGAAGGGTGAAGGATGTGGGGACAGGTGGAAAGAGGTCAGATGGAAGGAAAAGGGAGATGAAAGAGAGCTATGGATGGCATGTTACAGAATATTCAAATGAAGATAAATTCAGCGAATGTGGGTCTCTGAATGTGATGCATGTTTCTTACAAACTCAAAGCTTCCACTGATCAGAATCTTTTTGCATTTTCTTACCCACTTTGGCTAAAATTCCACATGCATGTTCTCAGAAAGAAGGTACTGGTAGTCCTCGACTTACGATCACAATTGAGCCCAAAATTTTTGTTGCTAAGTGAGACATTTGTCAATTGAGTTTGGCCCCATTTTTCGACTTTTTGTGCCATAGTGATTAAGTTAACCACTATAGTTCCTAAGATAGTAACATGATTTTTAAATGAATTTGGCTTCCCCATTGACTTTGCTTGTAAAAAGGTCACAAAACTTGACCCTGGAACACTGCAACTGTCATAAATATGAGTCAGTGGCCAAAATCCAAATCATATGACCATGGGGATGCTACAATGTGTGGAAAAAAAAGGTCCCAAGTCATTTTTTTCAGTGGCATTGTAATTTTGAATGATCACTAAACGGACTGTAAATCGAGGACTACCCATATTTTGAAACCAAATGAAGGTGTGTTTACATCAGCAACCTAAGGTTTTGTTCTGTTTTTTTTTTAATTCAGCAAGTCTTAAATGTGCCTCTCTTTAGAGTTCAGTTCTGCTAAGCCGGTTGAGTAATTGAATGACTGCACGTATCATACAACACCTGGGTCATATGCACTTTCCATTCCTCAATAAACTTCTACACTTATCATTACCTAAGTCATAAATAAACATATTGCCTGTGGACTTCCAGTAGAAAGTCCACACTAATCTTTTCAATTGTGTAGCAGTGAGAGATATTGTTTTTAGAACAGAAGGGACAGGGAAAACTGGTTTAGGAGAGTAAGAGAGAAGTGATGGGAGGGATGGTTAAATCAAGGAAAATCACATTCAAAGCCGATTCATACTTATAAGATACATTGGTATTTCGTCATTGAGTTATTCAGCTACAGGCCCAGCTTACTTAGAAATCACTTGGGAGTGATTATGAATTGATTGTATTGAAAAGCATCAGATTTCAATAAGTTTGAAAGATCTTATTGTGGTGTTGCTTTTGTACTGGCCTCTTAACGCCTGGAAATCACCCATTTGAATAGTGCTGTTATCATGTGATAAGCATACAAATGTGAAATAGCTCGGGGAAGGTGAGTGTGTGAACAGTTCCATTGAAGAAGTAAAGCAGTGTTTCTCTTAGCAACTCTTAAGACATGTGGGCTTCAATTTCCAGAATTCTCTGGCCAGGAAGGCTGGCTGGGGATTCTGGGAGTTGAAGTCCACATTTCTTAAGAGTTGCTAAGGTGAGAAACAGTGAGGAAGAAGGTTGTAAGTTTTGCAAAAAATGCTATTGATAATTGATGTGCTGTCTCTACATTCATTGCACGATTGTAGGCCTATCTTAAGTGTCTTAACAAAACATGGGTTGTGGATTGAAAAGGAGCCAGGATTTATGATTACTGGATTCTCTGAATCGGGTCTGCGGTCCATGAAGTGATCCATTCTGCTAGTAGGTTTTGATTCCTCTTCAAACAATTGTTGAGATATTTTCAGGGGGGTGGGAGCATATCTGTATTATGAAAAGGTTACCATTAAAATAGACCACTTATTTTGTAATTTAATTGTTTTCTGCAAATTTAACTAGAGATTTATCTTATTATGATATGCAATGGTCAAAAAATATATAGAGATTTTCCCCTGCTCTCAAGGAAACTTGAGATAGGAAGGATAGTCAGGGCTTCTGTGTGTGAAAGGAAGAAATAGATTAAAGCAAGGCAGTTGCTGATTTATTATTATTTTTTAAAGTGTTTATTTAATTTCAGTTGCCAGAATGTATAATAAACACAGTTATTCAGTAGTATTCAGGTCCTGGCAGACTAAACTGCAGGCATTTTGGTCAAAGCCAAAATAGAGTAATTCAACTATATTGTCAGAAGAAAGAAATATTTTTCCCAGTGAGGAAAGGAAATGCCATCTCGCTTTTCTTTTGCCCCTCACATTCTTCTTCGACTGACAAAGAACCCAGTCATTTAAAATCCAAGTATGCCCTCTTGCAGGCTTAGCTATGCTATTACAGAATCCTGGATAGATTCAAGTAACATGTTTATTGATCCTGATTTAATCTTGAATGCGGTTGAATAAATAAGCAACAACACAGCCCTTTTGGGATAAGCTAAATAAACGCACAAGATGTCCACCTTTGATGAAACTAACAAACCGTATAGTGAAACTGTGGCTTTGGAACTATCAGGGCTGAAAAATATCAGAATGCCTTTGTTATTGGAAAGAAAAAAAGATTGATATTTTACCAATGAAAGAATACTCAGATGCTTTTTCAAAAGACAACTGGATTTTTTTTAGGTTTTTGTTTGTTTGTTTTTTGAGGAAAAAGAAGATGTTTTCTTCAGGAAGAAATAAAAATATTTTCTTCTTTTTCCTCAAAGAAAAAACAGTCGAGTTTAAAAAAAAACCACCTTACAGACAACTATGACTTGGATGACTCAGAATCTCCACAGACACAATAAAATAATAATTTCAGGTTTTGGAGGTACAAGGTTTATAGAGTTTTATATAGCTACCTCCCACTTGTAGTTCACCCGAGTTTCATTATTTTTTCTAATTTGTAAAAAAAAATAAAAGGAAGACAGAAAGACAGATTAGCTAGATGACACGTTTTGAATTGCTAATGCTAGGAGCGATCCCTATATGAGTTCAGAATCAAACCATTTGTTTTTCTTCTACGCTCCTGTTTACGAACATTTGCTTTACTTTGCAGTACAGGAAGTCCTCGACTTACAATTGAACCTCTGTTGTTAAGTGAGACATTTCTTAAGTGAGTTTTGCCCCATTCTATGATTTTTCTTGCCACAGTTGTTAAGCAAATCACTACAGTAGATAAGTCAGCAACCCGGTTGTTAAGTGAATCTGGGTTTCCCATTGACTTTGCTTGTCAAAAGGTGATCACATGACCTTGGGACACAGCAATGGCCATAAGTATGAACCAGTTTCCAAGCATCTGAATTTTGATCACATAATCATGGGGATGCTACAAAGATTGTAACTGGGAAAATGATCATAAATCACTTTTTTTTCATGCCATTATAGCTTTGAACAGTCAGTAAATGAACTGTTGTAAGTCGAGAACTATCTGTATTTAGGCCTCTTTCACATCAGAACTGTTGTTCCCCCTTTTCCAGCTAGCAATAGTTGACAGTATTCAAACTTAGTGATATTAGAATTGAGAGGCATATTAAAAGAACAAGATCAGCGCAACGGTTGGTGACTTGAATCTCTACTCTGTATTTCCAAAATCCGACATTTATTATAAGTTGCAAAAGATGTGAACATTGCATATATTTGTTCACATTTCAATATAAGGTAGCAACAAAGAAAAGGGTTTTTTAGTTATAGCCTCCATTTATATTTACAGTATAATATCTATAACTGCAAATCACTTATTTCCTCTGCTCAAAATGTATGTGTTCAAGAGGCAAAAACAGGCACGTAGTTATGGACAGAATATATACCAATGATGGCAAACCTTTTTTGGCTTTCATGCCAAAAGCGGGGGAAGCACAGGGGGGTCGTGCGCCAGTGTGCCACACCCATAATGCTATGCGCGCAACACCCCCCCCTTTTGATGCAGTTTTTTAGCCCTCCCCAGGCTCCAGAGGCTTTCTAGGAGCCTGGGGAGGGTGAAAACAGCCCCCCCCCCCGACGCCCTCTGGATCCTTCAGGAAGTTTCCTGAAGGCTCCGGAGGTCGAAATTTGGCCCTACAAGAAAGCCGGAAGTCACTATTCCCGAACTTCCGGGTTCCCTGTAGATACGGTTTTTTATGCCCTGACAAATTGCTCCACGTGCCACAGGTTCACCATCACGGGTATATACACTGGTTCCCATTTGGCATGCTGTTTCAAAAGCATGAAATACGGATCTATTTTGTCTGTTTTTATTACCCATCAAATCAAACTATTTTCTAAAACAGTTTTATTTTTGAATTCTGGAGAGCCAAATATGACATGTCAAGAGAAGGAAATGTTGAAAATGAAAGATCAGCTTAGAAATAGATTTGCAGATTAAGCACAGTAGCACAGAATTCTCTGCATAACAATATGGTTGCCAAATGTGTGTGTGTGTGTGTGTGTGCATGCGTGTGTGTGTTTCTGTCTATTCAGATACACACAAACACATATCCTGGATCTCTGAAGCTGGGAACCTTATGTCTTATTAACAGCTCATTTTATCTTACATAGGGCTAAAATGTATACATTTATCTTTGCATTTCCTGCTTTTTCTTAGAAATAACTCTAGTCATCTCATTATTGTTACTGTGTGTGTGTGTGTGTGTGTGTGTATCAGTTCCAGCTGAAATACATCTGGAAATTTTTGATTCTCTTTCACTCAAAAGCATGAAGAATGAAATTCAAGTTACAGATTGTTCATATCTAAGACCAGAGTTTACAGATCCTGCAGTTGATATGTGAAAATTGGAATGAAAAATGTTGACACTGAGGCACTCTGCTTTGAGAGTACAGAGGAGATGAGGAACATATCAAAACAAAATCAAAATGACTTCCACATAAAAAGACACAGCTTGTATGGGATTCATTCAAAAAACAAAAAAGTGAATGCAGGATAGCATTTATCATATATGAAGTTGCCATGCTATGTTTTTGACAGCATTGTATGTTGATTGTAAAGAAATTTTATCATCCTGTACTATATTAAAAAGCTGGAAAATAACAGAATAACTATATTTTTATCTTCAGTTGGGCCATGTGAGATAACTGGTTTATCAAGTGATTGCATGTATGCCATGGTTTTTTACCCATTGATAAATATTTTTTTATGTTTTACTAAAAAAAAAAAAGCCTGTGCAACTCTACGCTTTAGATGTTTGGTGTAGCTTGGACATAATATATAAAGAACAATGAGTTTCCATTTGTTATCGGTCTCTGTGTGCGCATAAATGAAAGAGAGGGGATGGGGAATGTATTGTTGCATTGGGACAAACATTACCAGCTGTGCAGATGTTGAGGTCTCATTAGCTATGTCCTAATTTTAAAATTAATAAAGTTTAATATAAATGTTTGCCTTTCTATGTTTTCTTTGTATCTTGAACCAAAATTATACCAGAACTTTAGTTTTGGAATGGAGAAAACAGACTTTACCAGTTTTCCTACCTTCATAAAGTTTTTCCTACAAATTACAGCTTTACCAACTCTGTCTGATGTTTTCAAATTGGTTCAAAAGCTCCCTGCACCACTCATCAATTAACTTGATCCCCATCTGCATTCCCATTTATACAATCTGCAGAGATTGCATACCGGTAAATCTCTGTAACTTTT